TGCCCAAGAAATAAAAGCACATTTGGAACAGCAGCTGCAGTTGGAGTCACCATCTGGGTAAGTTTACTGTAATCAACTGTCATTCTCCAGATTCCTCTGTTATCTGCATAGGTCACATAGGTGAGTTCAAAGCAAATGTGGTGGGTCACCATTCAAATCGATGGTGGCACTACTGTCTGCTATCCCTCCAGGAATGCAGTATTGCTTTTGGTTTTTATTACTGAAGATAGAAGAAGTCCTAGTGATTTACACTTGGCGTATCCAACCCCAACAGCCCGCGTTCCACAGGTCCGAGAACTAGTTGCTAAGTCTGTAGAGTGGACACTAGAGAACGTGTGTGCAGACAGCTCATTATTGATTATGGCCCTTCCCGCCAAGTGACTCCATTTTGTGATAGATTGTAAATTCTAGCCTCCATGACTTTGATGATGGACCCATTTTGAAATGAGTTGCTAACAAGTAAAGATTAAGGTGCTGCACGTTAATGCGCTGGACTGCAAGGTCGATTTGAACCGTAATTTCCGTGCTTTAAGCTCACCAGTCACTCCTTGGAAATATGGGGTTGCTATGAGTCAGAACTACTTGAAGGCACTTAACATAGTATGTTGGAAAAGTCCAACAGGTGAGATGCCTTTAACCAGAGGGACCAGCCTCGTGCTGATCTTTCTGAAAGACGTTATTCCTGCAGTGTGCTAGTGATACATGTTACAGACCTAGGGACATACCCACAGGCTGGACTTAGGAACCCACCGTGGGACACAAAAGCGTCACAGAATCTTTGTGTCTCTTTATCTTTTTTGCTCTAATAAAGCTATAATCTGTATCACTTTCACATGTTCTGAGTCATTCTAATAAATTACAGAACCTGAGAAGGTAGTGCCCCTCCCCCCATTTGTAGGCGTTCTGGTGGTGCAGTGGTTAAAGCACTCGGCTGTTAGCGCAGAGGGTAATGGTTTGAACCTACCAGCTTTACTGGAACAGAACGGTATGGCAGTCTGCTTCCTTTCATTTACAGCCTTGGGACCCCTTTGGGCAGTTCTACCGTCCTACAGGATCACTGTGTGTTGGAAATGACTCGAGAGCAATGAACTTGGTTGGGTGGATTCGATGAGAAGTGGGTGTCCTGGGAACCCTCAAGCTTAGAGCCAGTGTCTGAAGTCATGAGCAGACTTGGGGGCTGGGGGACTGTCGTTTGCATATAAAGCTTGGTCCTAACTCTTGGTAGTGTCCTAATTGAGCTGATTTTTTAGAGGTAGTCTTACCTCATACCATGATGCGTATCTAGTCTGGTTGGACGGTCCCTCTGGACATCTGAATTCAACTCCTCCCTCTTTCCCAAACCTGCTCCTTCCACGCCCTGTCTTGGAAAACGGCACTCAGGCAGAAACCCGGGAGTCATCCATGGTCAGGGGTTCCTTCCTGAAGTGTGGCTTAGAGACATGGTGAGACTCAGACGGCAGAGTAGGGTGGTGGGGATGGTGGAGGGAACACTGGGCAGCTGTCAGGGCATCATCCCGAGTTAACTTCCAAGTACTACAGACACACGCAATGGAATTAACAAGGAGCTCCAAAGAAAGCCAAGGTGGGAGAAAAGGTGAGATGTCATCAGCCCACATTCAGTCACGGCCACACTGAGATGGATGAGAGTTCTCATTGTCCCTCTCGTTTGTTCCCTGCAGTGAAAGGTTAAAGCTAACTGTATTTTATAATTTCACAATCTTAAAAAGACTACCATCAAAAAAGACTGAAAACCTAATAGAATGTTAGCAAGGGTAAGCTCTGGCTGGTGGAATGCATGAGGGATTATTATATAAATTATTTGTCGAGTAGATGGATTACTTTGTATTTTACATTTAAAAATGTTTCTGAATGATTTAAAAATCACTGAAACATAGTTGAACGCCTCAGCTTTCTCCCGAGGAACAGCTGGTAGTTTCAAATCGCCGACGTTGACGTTAGCAGTCCGATTCTGCATGGGCTGGGAAACAAACCGGGACCTCCTGCACGGCAGGCGAGACTTCTACCACTGAACCCCCCCGCACTAGGGGTAGTTGTAGCCCCGGCCATACGCACCCCAAGCGGCTTCCTGGGCTAGAAAGGCAGGCAAGAGCACTGTCTTCCACTCTAGCGTGGCCACCTACCTTTCCTAGTTTCATCTACTAGCTGCTAACCACATTCCAGGGAACTTGCACAGGCCTCTGAAATCTTGTCACAGGTTAGGCCCAAGCCAAAAGGGGCACCCGTAGCGTAGTGGTTACGAATCGGGCTGCGAACTGCAAGGTCAGCAGTTCGAAACTACCAGCTGTTGCGTGGGAGAAAGATGAGGCTTTCTGTTCCCATAAAGATTTATAGCCTTGGAAACCCCATACAGGGTCACCGACTCCACGGCACATGACACCACCACCACCACCTTCTAAGGCTGCGAAAGCCAAGCTTGCTCATTCACATACCAAAAAGCAATCATTACAGACCCTACAGGGCGACTAGAACCGCACCTTCTAATACTGCCAATCTTCACAGCCATACACAGCCTCATCTTTCTCGTGTGGAGCAACTGGGGGGCCTCAACTGCTGACCCTCCAGCACCACCAGGGCTCACAGGGGGTTTAAATACAGCCTAAGGGCCCGAGTGCTCCAGTGGAGAAGTGGACGGGACTTCTGCGCAGAGGCCCAAAGCTTCGGAGAGCAGTTTCCCACCCTAATCGGGTGGTAGCAGAGTGAGGCTACGGACCAATCTGCCGAGGACGTGAATGGCTTTACCTTTGCAGATAATTCTAGTAGGTGTGGACAAGTGGAGCTAGGGAGAGGCCAGACAGGATGTCTCCAGTGTGGGAGCAGAGCTCAGAGGCCTCAGACTCCCAGCTGAATGGTACATCGTGCCAGGTGCACAGAAGGAAGCTCATCTGCCTTTCTCTCTCCAACCGGTGACTTAAATCCAGGTATAAGGCACCATTCCTGGCCCACCTCCACAGGCTGACACGTGGCCTTCCTGAGGTGACATCTGGCTATACATGGTGATTCCCAAGGACCCCAGGGTTTCAAAAGGCAGAGCTACAAGGACCATTAAGATCACAGGAGAAAGCTTCAAAATTTTGTGAAAAAAGGGAATTTCTCCACCAACTTTTTGAAGGAACCTTGTCCATGTCTTCATTTCTGTACATTAGCACAGCGACCGGAAGTGGTGGCTTGCTCCATGTCATAGTTAGCAAGTCATGGTACCAGAGCTCAGACCTAGGACACCTCCAATGCCCAGTTCACGTCTACTTTGCTCCAAGATCAGGCATCTCAAGGGCAAGCATAATCAGTCCTTCCATGACCTAGACCCCAATCAAGACACAATATGACGTGTTGACATTTTACCATTTTTCTAGCAGACCTTCCTATTCTTACGGCCTTCCCATCAAATTACATAAATGACAAAAACAAAACAAACCCCATGTTTATATTTGGAAACAAAGTGAGTAAGGTATATTTTCATTTTCCCTCCAAATGTCAGTTTATCCCAAGTCAAATGTCTCCGGGATTCTTCCATTTTCAGTTCTTAGAGACAGTTGCCCGTTTGGGTTCAAGGTGACCAAGTGCAGAAGAATGGCACGGATGAAGCTGTGGTCAGAAACATGCACCAAATTGTCAGCTCTAAGAATGGAACCCACCAAACCGCCTTGGTGCTGGTTAGATTTTATTTTAACAGGGTGTTTTCTGTTCATTGTTTTTCAAAATATCAGTTATATCAATATTAGAAGTGTAAACAGGTACAAAATATACATACATAGAAACAATTTTCATAACTAGTCTATTGCCTAATAAAAGTACGCATGAGGTTGCTGAATGAATGAATGCTGCCTTTCCTTCCTGCAGGGAATGAGGTGCCCACTTTGGGTAAGAGAATCAGTGGATATGTCCACAAAATGAAAATGGGTATCACGTGGCCAAGACAGCACTGTGGTGGAATTGAGAGCTCTGGGTCTGGTTTTACTTCCATTGTGAAGATGTCAGACCCCGGCAAGGAGCAAGCCACTTGCCCTTTCCCAGCTTTCTGATCCGAGGGTGAGCGCACGCGCACACACATGGGTGGGCGCTGCCTGCAGGCGGGGGGTAGATCTTAGAAGAGGCCACCAGTCACCCTTTCTCCCCAAGCTCATGTGTCTCACCTGCGGCTCTTCACACTTCTTGGCACACAGTACCCTGTACCCAGTGATAAGCTGAGTGGTGGGTGTCCTCTTTGGGCAATGCAATTCCTCATCTCTAGAAAGTCATGCCCATTTTGCCTGCTGCACCAAGTCCCAGTAATGACCATATGGGTGCAACGTGGAGCACGTGGAAAACAAAACACAGGACAGAGAGGGGCCCAGAGTAGAGCCGCTCGCTGGGGTGGAGGGCGCCGGTCCTGCTCCATCAGGCTCTGCTGGGCTGAAGCCCCCCCGCCTCAGTTTTCACTCTCTCCAGATCCCTTTCCCCTCCACGGGGACTGCAGACAGCAGTCAACGGGAGAGGAGACCAGGAGAGGGGCGCTGGAAAAGGCAGGGGAAGTCCTTCTCCCGGCCGAGTTGATGCCCCAGCTCTCCAGCTCCCAGCCGCCCTCACTTCACAGGCCTAGACTGGCTCAGCCCTGGCATGGAGGGTCACCCCATTCCGGGAAGTCACCTGCTAGCAGCCCCCAACACTCGGCTCACTGTCAGACTTGGTGAGGACCCAGTGGACACAAACACATGCTTAGAAATTCCAAAGTATGCGGCAAAATTCAAACTGGTGCTACTACTATTTTCCAGCTTTTTCCTCAAGAATTAAAAAATACAAGTTTCATCATTAAATTACGTAAAGCTCTACGGTGCGGTTTCACAATGGGAGAGCTGGGCTGTGTTGACAGTTGGAGATGGGATGGCTGGACATTTCTCCTGTGGTCAGCGCTCACTCTCGATTGGCCTCCCTGACGCCTGGAAGAGAGCCTTTGAAAGCCTGTGCGCCTAGGAGCCTCAGCAGCCGGTGGCCTTGTCGGGGTGTCACAGGCTACTGCCGTCGGCGGGCCCCAAGACGCTGAGGCTACACGTCCAATCCGTCACCAGGTCTGTGGTGGTCCCGGGCCCTTTGGCGCCCGGGCTTTTGAAGGGGTCCGGGGGCGCTGCTGGCAAAGGTGGGAGCGGCTGACCCCGGGCCGGCCCCTTGGCGCCAGCAGCGTGGTTGCGCTGGTGTTTGCGCAGGTGGTCCTTGCGGATGAAGCTCTTGCCGCAGACGGTGCAGGCGAAGGGCCGTACGCCTGTGTGCGTCCGGTAGTGGTCGATGAGCTTGGATCGCTCGGTGAAGCGCTTCTCGCACTCGGTGCAGGGGAAGGGCCGCTCCCCGGTGTGCAGCATCCGGTGTCGGATGAGGTGGGCCGGCCGCGTGAAGCAGCGCCCACACTCCCCGCAGCGTAGCGCGTTCCCGTCCCCGCGTGTGCTGCCACCTGTGGCGCCCGTGGTGCTGGCTGCGCCCGTGCCGGTGCCCGCGCCCGTGCCTTCAGGCAGCCCGCAGGCGCGCTGGTGGGCGGCCAGGCTGACCTGCAGCTGGAAACTCTTCCCACACGTGGCGCAGGTGAAAGGCCGGCCTCCAGGAGGCGCTGTTGGGTGCTTCTTCAACCCGGGCTTGTGGCCAAAGCCCTTTGTCCAGCCCGGGTACTTACAACGATCGTTGAAAGGTCTTGGGGCCTGGCCGGGGTCCAGGACCACCTCTGCACTGTCTGGGATGGGGTAAGGGAGACCCTCAGGCCCAGGCCTGGGGTTTAGGCCCATAGAAGGTTTGCACCGGAAGTTCCAACCCCACCGGACCCCACCAAAGAGCCAGTCCCCCGCGGGGGTTTCCTCCTGGGCCACCGCAGGGCTAAGCTCCCGGCCGTCCCGCTCCGGTCTGCCCGGCTCCCTCAGTCCCAGCACAGGGTCCTGGCTGGGAAAGGCGCTGCCCTGGCTCTCCCAGGCCCCCTCCTGGACAGGGCTGGGGAAAAACCTCGTGGCCTGGCCTGGTGCAAACAGGGCTCCGTGGGCCTCCAGGTCGGTAGGATGCACCGGTGTGGCCACTACCTCCTCCTCCTGGACCTCCGTTTTAATCACGATTTTTACATCTGCTGAGAGAGGCAGAGATAGCAGGTGTTTTCTGTCCCCTCCCTGCTCAGACCACAACCGCCTCTCAGGACCAGCCCCCTGAGATCAGTGCTCAGGAACCTCCAGGGCATCGTGAACTCACTCTGAGAGGTAACTGACCACAGACGGCATGCACCTGAGGGTTAAGAGTGCTGGCCTGGGATTTAGGTGGGCCTGCCACTCTCCCGGGCTCCCTAGCTCCACTTCCTCGGGCATCTGACACCCAGAGCACTGAGCATACTGCAGGGCGTGTGGCAAGTGCTCAGCACTGCACTAGCTCACCAACTGTGAGGACACCGAGCCGGCCCACGTGTGTCAGAGTTTACGGACGGGCATGTGCATGTCACATCCTGAGGTTCTGTACTGGGATCTAGGGACTTTCGTTCTTCCCATACACCTGGATGAAGCGGCTTTGTTTTGTTTTCCATGTAAGAAAGGAACCACTGCAGGGGCCTGGGAAGGTGGCATATCCACTCCAGGAATCCCTTCTCAGGACACACTGGCTGCCACCAAGTGAAAGGACATCAACAGCACAGAGGACAGAGTCGAAGTTGGAAACTCAATACCTGTTGGCTGATGGATCTGGCCAGTTCACCAATTAAAACAAGAGTGTTTGTCATGGGCCCCCACATACCTTCTGTGGAGGCCACAGTGTTGAGCTTCAGGGTCCCATCTGAGCAGGCTGAGGAAGGGTGGTGGGGAGGGAGGTCAGCCTGCCAGGAGCTGGGAGGGATAGTGGTGGGAAAGCTTGAATGGATACCTGCAGGGAAGAGACCCGAGGAAAGAGGGAGATGGAGGAAACGTGAGTGAGGTAGGTCTGAGAGACCCTGCCAACCACGGTGGAGACCCCTTGGTGCAGTTCTAGAATGCTTGGACATCACTGATCAGCTGACTAGTGATGGAAATGCCTGGCTTGGGAGGAGGAGGAACAGGGTGAGGATGTGGACCCCAGTGGGTCTCAAGGAGTCCCTTCCTGTCTACCTGCCCCCAGCCCCCAGCATGCACTCTGTCCTGGCCACTCACCAGGGGGCGTGTCTGTGGAGAGGTCTCCGGCTCCAGAGTCCAGCTGGCTCAGCCCCCAGGGCTCCTCCCCGATGTCCGGCTGCCCGGCTGCCCAGGCCTCCACCCCCAGAGCCTGCTGCTCCTGAAGCTGGAGTTCGCCCTCCTGCTTGATCTGCATCAGAAGGTCAGGAGCGGGGACAGGGGGCCCGGAGCCTAGGGAAGGGAGAGCTTATGAGCAAGGACAGGAATGGCTCAGGGGCCCCAGCGCGGTCTCAGGATGTCGGACACAGGGGCCTTCCAGGGGCCTGTAAACAGCAAAGGGCAGGGTGGAAAGACAGGTATCAGCAAACGGGGCATTGGGGCCTTCAGGGTGAAGCTTGAGAACACAGGCAGGATGAAGGGGTCCGCCGTCAACTTCTGCTCAGTGGGGAAGTCAGGCTAACAGCAGCGACAGTCTGCTCTCCCACTCCAAACACAGAAAGCCCCACCCACATATTTAGGTGAACTCAGAAGAAAGATTCCACATACAAAAATCAGAAAATGCAAGGTCAAACCAAGAGTTGGAGCAGAGGGCAAGTGGCCCTCAGGGTCTTTGGAGTCAGGTACAGGACTCAGGGCTGGGGTTCCATGAGACAAAGGAGGATCACAGGCGGGAGAACCACCCCCTGGGAAAGCGCAGGCCTGTGTCCACACTGACTTCACACTATCCACTTGGGGCAGAACAATGGGATACTAAGAAGCAACATTAAAGAACAACATGGAACCTTCAGAGAAACCTCCTAACCTAAAGGACATGAAGAAGAGCATGTCATCAGGATTGGAGGAAGACTCATTAGCAACCTGCGATATGCAGATGATACAACCTTGCTTGGTGAAAGTCAAGAGGACTTAAAATATTTACTGATAAAAATCAAAGACCACAGCCTTCATTATGGGTTGCACCTCAGTGTAAAGAAAATAAAAATCCTCACCACTGGACCAATAAATAACATCATGATAAACGGAAGGTTGAAGTTGTCAAGGACTTCATTCTTCCTGGATCCACTATCAACACTCACGGAAGCAGAAGTCAATAAAATCAAATGACTGATTACATCTGGCAAAGCTGCTGCACAAGATCTCTCGAGTGAAGAGCAAAGATGTCAGTTTCAGGACTAAGGTGCACCTGACCCAAGCCATGGTATTTTCAATAGCCTCGTATGCATGTGAAAGTTGATCAATGACTGAATAAGGAAGACGGTAGAATTGATGCATTTGAGTTATGGTGTTGGAGGAGAATATTGAAAGTACCATGGACTGCCAGAAGAACAAACAGATCTGTGTTGAAAGAAGTGCAGCCAGAAAGCCCCTTAGAAGCCAGGATGGTGAGACTTTGTCTCTCATGCTTCGGACATATTATCAGAAGGGACCAGTCCTTGGAGAAGAACATTATGTTTGATATAGTGGAGGGTCACCGAAAAAGAGGAAACCCCCAATGAGATGGACCGACACAGAGCCACAACAATGAGAACAACTTTATCAGCGATTGTAAGGAGGGCGCAGGACCGGGCAGTGTTCTGTTCTGCTGTGTAGAATAAAGTTGCTAAGAGTCAGAACGGACTCGATGGCACCTAACGATAACAACAGAATCTTATGTTGAGTGAAATTAATCACAAAAGGACGATATTATATGAGACCTGTTGTGGGAGTCCTGGTGTGGCACCATAGGATAAGCACTGGACTGCAAAGTCAGCGCTAACCACAAGGTTGGCAGTTCAAACCCACTAGCTGCTCCTTGGAAACCCTCTTCAGCTTGGAACTTAACAACAACTGCAAACAGTCTAGGAAAGGTTTACACACAGAAAGGACTGCTCTTTGCTGGTTACTAGGGGAGGTGGTAAATCACTAACTAGAGGGAAGATGCGCAGTAACTTGGGCAAAGGGCAAGGCAACAAAATGACCCAGGCAAAGGGAGGCCCGGAGGAGCCCAAGGTAATAAAGGTCAAACAATTACACACACAAGTCATAACAATCCAGGAGTGGATCCGTACAACTGGGCTGAGACTCATGGAAACCTGTACAGTACCAGAACTGAAAAAGGCGAAACTGCCCTCTAGGGACACAGCACAAGGCACTCCCACTAAAAAAAGGAGATTATCAACTGAAGAGTGGCCAAAGGGTCAAAGGAGTTAGCAAGCACTCCCAAGAACTACAGAAAGAAAAGCAAGCTAAATAATACGGGACAAGAACTACAAATAACACAGCTAAGGAAACAGAAGGAACAGCATCTCCATGGTAAGAATCTTTAAAAAGGCAACTCTGAAAGAATGACACAAACATTCTAGAAATGACAAAAGCAGTCACTGAAATGAAAATCTCAAAACAGACTAAACACAGTGAAGAGGAAAGAATCCAGAGTACAGTCCTGGTGTGGCGCTGTGGGTTAATGCGTCAGACTGCAAAGCCGTTTGAACTGCAACATTGGTGGTTCAAACTCACCACCTGCTCCTCAGAAACCCTAGACAGGCTCGCTATGGGTCGGAACCAACTTGACGGCACTTAACAACAACAGTAATGAGAAAGAAATGAAAACATACGAAACAGAAGCTAAGAGAAAGGGGGATAGAATGAGAGGTCCAACATATGCTGGTAGAAATTTCAGGTAGCAAGAATAGAGAAACAGGTAAATGACAATAAGCAAAGATGTAATGGCAGAGAATTTTCCAAAATTAAAGAAATTAGGAGTTCCCAGTTTGTGGTGTGCTGTAGGATAAACACCGAACTGCTAACTTCAAGACTGGCGGTTCAAACCCACGAGTCACTCGTGGAAACCCTATACAGGTTCGCTTAGAGCTGGAGTTGACTTGATGGCATTTAGTCACAACAGTTTGAAGTAAGAAACAGAAGAAAACAACCCTCGACAACATTAGTGTGAAACGGAGTCAAACAGAGTCCAACCAAGACCGTAGGAGTCATAGAGGCCTGCCTGCTGTGGCCCCGAGGGTAAGCACTCGACCTCAAGGTCGGTGGTTCAAACTCAACAGCCGCTCCTCAGAAACCTTCCACAGGGTCACTAAGAGCCGAGCCGGAACCACTGGACAGCACTTAACAACAAAGAGAAGGACAGACAGATGCAAACTGAAAGCTGATTTCCATCAGCAATTAAGCTATTGGCTCCTTCAACATGCTGAGAGGAAACACCTGTCAACTTCTTTTATGAGATCAGTGGAATGCTGACAGCAAAGACTATAGGCCAGTAGATGAAAAAAAATTGTGCATCATCTCACGATTGTTGTTGTTAAGTGCCTTCGAGTCGGGTCCGACCCATAGCTACCCTGTACAGGGTTTCCGAGAGTGTAAATCTTTACGGGAGTAGAAAGCCTCATCTTTCTCCCGCGGAGTGGCTGGTAGTTTCGAACCACTGACCTTAAGGTTCGATAGCAGATGCAAATATTGTAAATGAAAAAACACCACTCAAATCCAGCAATGCATTAAAAAAAAAAGATGAAAAGGCAAATACATTATGAGCAGGTAGGCTTGTCCCAAGAACTCAAGAATAGTAGGGGCTTCAAAAAGTTTGTGGAAAATTTTCATTATCTTTTAATTCCATTTTTCCATGAACTCTTTTCCGAAGCCCCCTTGTAATAATTCACAAGTTTAACATAGACTTATTTTTAAAAAGAGAATTGAATGGAGAAATTCTTTTAATGAATTCACGGCGAAAAATGATAGAATCATCCCCACAGATGCAGACGCAGTATCCAACGCTTCTATTTCAGGCAGACATCTGGCTATGCAGAGACTGGGCAAACTGAACAAACCAATTCTTTAGAAGAAAATGGAAGACGTAGAAATAAAGTAAACCCACCAGAGACAGCATTGTAAGAAAGCCCAGTACAACTCAGGTGACTGTGCCCTCGTTGTCTCCTGACCTCCCAGAGCCTACGTTCTCATAGAACATGCCCACTGTGGGTGGAGGACTTAAAAGGCAGGGGCTCAGGCACAGATACCAGTCGGGGACCCCAGAAGGCAACATTCCCAGTGGATTAAGTTTAAGAAGTGAAAACCTGCCCTGCAGGAAAGTCACCTGGCCTGGCCTTGGTTCTAGGCTGAGGGGGACGATGACTCCTCTGGGAACTGACAAACCCCAGCAGGCACTCACGTCACCAATGTGGCCAAGATCTCTGTGCCAAGACTCTAGCTTGAAGTGGTCCAGGTCTGCACCGGCCCCTGGTGACCAGCAGAGACAGAAATGTAGATTCTCAGCAGACAGCACTTTCCCCTTAAGCACAGCGTGAAAATGACTAATGAACTCCCAAATCAGTAATAAAACCAGTCAGAAAAGTGGCCATCTCAAAGTCAGCACAGATCAGAAACCACAGAAGCTCGTGTGCGGGGACTTCGTCATCCACGGCGGACAGGTTTCAGCAGAGCTTCCAGGTTAAGACTGTGAAGAAGGGCCTCATACTCTGCTGTGGAAATAGCTGGCCAGTGAGCACCTGATGGACAGCAGCAGGACACTGATAAAGTACTGGAAGATAGACCCCCGAGCTTGGAAGGCACTCAAAACAAGACTGGGGAAGAGTTGCCTGCTCAAAGTCAAGTCAAAGGAATGAGAAAGATGGAGGAAAGCTCTTGCTGATGTAACATGATTCAAAATGAGAAGAAATAGCTATAACATTAATAACCAGAGCCTGGAATGCATCAAGTATGAATCAAGGAAAACTGGAAGTTGTCAAAAGTGAAATGGGATACTTGAGGATCAATATGTTAGCTGTTAGTGAGCTGAAGTGGAATGGTGCTGCATTCATCATCAGAAAGGATATTTCAAGATCAAGAAAAACACTGTCAGTGATAGGATAATATTCATAGGCCTATAAGGAAATGACGGACTGACCTTGAATATATCTTACATGAATTTAGAGATCATCTGAAAAACAGATTTGATATATTAAGTACTAAAGACCGAACACCAGAAGAGTTGTAGGATGACATCAAGAACATCATACATAAAGAAAGCAAAAAGTCATTAAGAAGACAAGAAAGAAGGAAAAGGTCAAAATGGTTGTCAGAAGAGACTGAAATTTGCTCTCCAGCGTAGAGAAGCTAAAGCAAATAGAAGAAATGGGGCGGTCCAAGAGATGAACAGAACATTTCAAAGATTAGCTCGAGAAGATAAAGCCAAATATTACAACAAAATGTGCAAAGATCTGGAATCAGAAAACCAAAAAGGGAGGAACATGCTCAGCATTTCTCAAACTGGGGGAACTGAAGAAAGCCTCGACTTTCGTTATTGAAAGATTCTCTGGGCAAATTATTGAATGATGCAGAAAGCATCAAAAGAAGATGGAAGAAATATACAGAGACACTATACCAAAAGGAAATGGTTAATGTTCAACTGTTTCAAGAGGCAGCATATGATCAAGAGCCAATGGTACTGAAGGAGGAAGTCCAAGGTGCATTGAAAGACTTGGCAAAGAAAAAGGCACCAGGAATTGATGGAATAAAGATTGAAATCTTTCAAGAAAGTGAGGCGGCACAGGAGGCACTCACTCATCTCTGCCAAGAAATTTGGAAGACAACTATCTGGTGGACTGATTGGAAGAGATTATTGATATTTGTGCCCATTCCAAAGAGAGGTGACCCAACGGAATGCGGAAATCATTTGACAATCTCTTTGATATCCCATGTGAGTAAAGTTTTACTAAAGGTAATACAGAAACAGTTGCAATCACACATTGACAGAAAACTTCCAGAGGTTCAAGCCGGATTCAGAAGAGGCCATGGAACGAGGGATAGTCCGATGGATCTTGGCTGAAAGCAGAGAATATCAGAAAGATGTTTACCTGTACTTTATTGACTATGCAAAGACTTTCGATTGACAAGCTATGGACAACATTGCGAAGTATGCGTATTCCGGACCACTTAATTGTGCTCATGAGGAATCTGTACCTGGACCAAGAGGCCGTTGTACGAACAGAATATGGGAACATTGAATGTTTTAAAATTAAGAAAGGTGTGCGACAAGGTTGTATTCTTTCACCATACTTATTCAACCTGTATGCTGAGCAAATAATCCAAGAAGTTGGGTTATATGAAGAAAAATGTGGCATGAGGATTGGAGGAAGCCTCATTAACAACCTGTGATATGCAGATGATACAACCTTGCTTGCTGAAAGTGAAGAGGACTTAAACTATTTACTGATGAAGAGCAAAGAGCAAGAGCCTTTGGTATGGATTACATCTCAATGTAAAGAAAACAAAAATTCTCACTACTGGACCAATAAACAACATTCTTATCAACAGAGAAAAGATTAAAGTTTTTAAGGACTTTATTCTTCTTGGATCAACTATCAACACTCATGGAAGCAGCAGTCAAGAAATCAAAGGACGTATTGCATTAGGCAAATCTGCTGCACAAGACCTTTTTAAAGTGTTGAAGAGGAAAGATGTCAGCTTGAGGACTAAAGTGCACCTGCCCCAAGCCATGGTATTTTCAATAACCTCATATGCATGCGAAAGCTGGACAGTGAATAAGGATGACCGTAGAAGAATCGATGCTTTTGAGTTATGGTGTTGGAGGAGAATATTGAAAGTGCCATGGGCTGCCAAAAGAACCAATAGATCTGTTTTGGAAGAAGTGCAGCCAGAGTGCTCCTTGGAGGCCAAGATGAACAAACTTTGTCTCTCATACTTCAGACACACTGTCAGGAGGGATCAGTCGCTGGAGAAGGATATCATGTTTGGTACGGTGGAGGGTCAGAGAAAAAGAGGAAGACCCCCAGCGAGATGGATTGGCCAAGTGGCGGCATTGATGGACTCAAGCATGGCAACAGTAGTGAGGTTAGCCCAGGATCGGGCAGTGTTTCGTTCTGCTGTGTATAACATTGCTATGGGTCGGTACCGAGTTGTTGGCACCTAACAAGAAAATGAGGAGGATTTAAGATACTTTCTGATGAGGATCAAAGACTATAGCTTTCAGTATGGACTGCACCTCAATGTAAAGAAAGCAAAAATCCTCACAACTGGACCAGTAAATATCATGATAAATGGAGAAAAGATTGAAGTTGTCGAAGACTTCTTTTTGCTTGGGTTCACAACCAACACACATGGTGTTGTTAAGTGCTGTTGAGTTGGTTCCGACCCACAGCAACCCTCTATAAGGTTTCTGACCTTTAATCTTCATCAGAAAGTATTTTGAATGCGATATATATCGCATTCTGGTGTGGCGTTTTGGGTTAATGCGCTGGACTGAAAAGTCAGTTTGATCTGCAAGGTCGGCAGTCCAGTGCCTTAACCCAAAATGCCACACCAGTAGTCAAGAAATCACACAGTGTATTGCATTAGGCAAATCAGCTGCAAAAGACTTCTTTAAAGTGATAAAGAAGCAAAGATGTGACTTTTGAGAACTAAGGCATAGGTGACCCAAGGCAAGATTACGTTTAATCAATCACCTGATATACATGTGAATAAGGAAGACCATAGAAGAATCAATGCATTTGAATTAGGGTTTTGGCCAAGAATAGTGAAAGCACCAAGGAGTTATCACAAGAACAAACATCTGTGTTGGAAGAAGTCCAACCAGAATGCTCCTCAGAAGCCAGGATGGTAAGACTTCATCTCTCGTACTTTGGACATGTTATTAGGAGGGACCAGTCTCTGGAGGAAGACATCATGCTTGGTAAACTGGAGGTCAACTAAAGAGAGGAAGAGCCCAATCAGACAGACAGACACAGTAGGGGAACAACAATGGGCTCACACATATACACCTGTGAGAACAGAGCCAGACCGGGCAGCTTCATTCTATTGGACACAGGGTTGCACTGAGCCAGAATCGACTCAATTCCACCTAACAACAACAACAACAACACAAGAAAGACCAGCTAATACAATTATTACTCAAATTTACGCATTGACTATAAATGCCAAAGGTGAAATTGAAGATTTCATCAACTCTGTAATCTGAAATTGATCAAATATAAATCAAGATGAATTGATAGTCACTAGTGATTAGAATGTGAAAGCTGGGAACCAAGAGGGACTGGCAGTTGGAAAATACGCCCTCAGTGATAGAAACAGGACTGCAGATGTGACACAACAGCATTCTGTCAAGATCAAGGACTTATTCACTGCAAATACCTTTTTCCAACAATATAAATGGTAACGATTCACATGAACCCCACTGGGCGCAGTCCACATCTGTGGAAAGAGACACTGGAGAACTCACCAGCATCAGAACAAAGCCGAGACCTGCCAGTAGAACAGACGGGAACTGTTGATGAGCAAGCTCAAGTTGAAGTTGAAGAAAATGAAAACAAGTCCCCAAGAGCCCAAGTACGACCCTGAGTATGTCCCACCTAAATGTAGATGCACTGACCACTAATGACTGAAGATCCCATGAGCTGTGGATGACATCATATAGATCACACATCAAGGAACCAAAATCTCATTAGAAAGACAGGAAAAGGAAGACAAAAAACAAAATGGGTGTCAGAAGAGACAGTAAAGTGAATGGAAGAAGTCTAGCAAAAGAGCAGCTTGAGAAAACTAAGTATTATACTAAAATTGGCAAAGACCTGGAATTAGAAAACCAAAATGGAAGAACACTCTCAACATTTCTCAAATTGAAGAAAAAAATTCAAGTCTTGAGTTGCAATAATGATCCCTGACGGGGCGCTGTAGGAGAAGCACCGAACTTCGAACTGCAAGGTCACTAGTTGAAACTCACTAGCCATTCTCGGAAACTCTATACAGGGCAGCTGAGTTGGAACAGACTTGAAAGCACACAACAACAATGGGCAAAACATTGAGGAGACACCGGAAACATCAAGTAAGATGGAAGAAATATATGGTCACTGTATAAAAAAGAAGTGGCTGACATTCAACCATTTCAAGAGGCAGCATGAGATCAAGAAATTGGAGGACGAAATTCAAGCTGCACTAGACACTGCTGAGAAATGAGACTGCAGGAATTGACAGAAACCCTACGGAGCTGGTCCAACTGCCAGAATGCAGGCAGGTCACGTCTGCTGTCCACTTCCAGGGTGGACAGTGCTCGTTTCTAGGGTGCTAGCTGAATTGTTACAGGTTCCAACTCAATGCCAAAGTCTCCAGCAGTTTGATAATTCTCGTTGGTGCTCTCTGGAAAGTTCGCACTCCCCGGCCCTTGCCTTTTCTGTTTCCATGTTATTGGCATTTCCCTGCCCTTCCTCTCCCAGCTTCTCACCCGGACTAGGATCCACTGGAACATCTGGAATCTTGGGGCCAGTGCGACGCCAGTTGCATGGCTCTTTTCCTTGTTCAATCTGGGAGAGGACCTCTGGTTTGGAGATAGCGTAGTCTGAGGGAAGACAGACAGGTTAGGCTCCGCCACAGTCAGTTCAGTGCTGAGAACAGGCAGTCTGGGACGTTGGCCAGATTTCACCAAGAAAGACCTAGAAGTAACATTTCTTGACTGATCTAGGGCAGTGGTTCTCAACCAGAGGCGATTTTGCTCTTCGGGGATATTTGGCAAAGTCTGGAGACATTTTCGGTTGTCCTAACTGGGGCATGACCAGGGGCTAGAAGCCAGGTGGCTGCTCTCCACAGCCTACAACGCGCAGGACAGCCTCAGTTAAGAAAAACAATCTCATGTGAACCGTTCATAGTGCTGAGGCTGACAAGGCTGGGTGGAGTCTCCATTTTAAAAAGCAACGTATTGCTGCAAACTGAAAACTGTCTTATCCTCACTAAGCCTGCATTATCGCTTAGGCACACCCACAACTGAGCGGAGGAGGAATGAACCCAGGAAGTAACAGGGTGCAGGCTCTACTGGGCAGGGTGAGTGGGAAAAGCCACACTAGCTGCAAAGCCAGGCCGTGGGCATGGTTGGCTCAGACTCTCCACTGGCCCCTGAAGAGTCACACAAAGACACATGCTGCCGTGTGGTCACAATATGAGATCAGCAGGAGCCTTCTCTACTCCAACCTTCTGCAACCATGCACTGGGCTTGGCACTCCACGAACCTCACCAGCGGTGGAATCTCTAATACGAGGAAGAGATTTACAAATCCTTAAGATGAGAAAAAGCAGCTCTGGTAGCATAGTGCTTATGTGTTGGGCTGCTAACCACAAGGTCAGTCATTTCGTGGGAGAAAGTTGAGGCTTTCTGCTCTTGTCAAGATTCACGGCCCAGAAGCCCCATGCAGGCTGGGAACTGACTCCACCACACACAACCACCACCACACCAAGATGAGAAACAGCAAGGAGAGAGTCGAGAATGTCCTAACCCATACTTAGTAGAGAACGAGCATCAGGCCTCACCCAGGGACACCAGAGTCTCGTAGTTGCCCCTCATCACGTGCTTGTACAGCTCCTTCTGCCACTCGTCCAGCTTCCCCCACTCCTGCTCCGAGAAATACACGGCCACGTCGTCGAAGGTCACGGGCACCTGGAACCACAGTGCCACCGCGCTCACTCACACACTCAGAGGCTCGGCTGCTCTGGCTCCCCCACCCCAGGAGGCCCGCGAGCTGACCTTGGGCACCTCGCCCTTGCTGCCCGGAGGCAGCCGCAGGATCCAGAAGTTTCTATTCCTCAGCAGGTTCTCCATGTTCTCCAGCCTCCGCTGCAGCAGCCCGTACTCCTGTAGCAACGTCCCCAGCACGGCCCACTTGCTTTCCATGTGGTTTCCGAACTCCACAGCCGTCTTCTCGCAGTCGGCCAGTTTCTTCTCAGCCATTCCAGTCCGGCCTTCAAGGGAAAGCAAGCGAGCAGCCTGCGATTCAATCTTCCTCTCCATGGCCTGGATTGTGGCTGCCATTGTCCATGGGGAAATCTTTCAGAGACAACGAGAAGAGCCGTGTCACTCATTCCCCTGTGCCGCAGGCCAGCTCTTTACTGGGCATTGTGGCATATCAGCTACCACCTAAGAGTGGGTGGGGGTCCTGCCTCCAGTTTCGGAGGCACACACCACCCAGGTCAGTGTCTTCACTGTCCTCTAACCGTGAGTCCTTCACAGGTAGTCTCGCACCTCATCCCAGGACACTGCTAGACACAGGGCAGCTTCTCAGTACCATTTGGGTAGTAAGCTGTGGCTCAGCCTGCCAGAGCATCCTTGTGGAGAAACACCAAGGCACAGCCGTCCACTGAGGATGACACGGCAAACCCAGCTGGCTCCTGGGCACAGCACAATCACGTAGCAGCTCCATTTTTCCCCCCTATTAAAAAAGCAGCTCAGCTCATGTCCTTTTCTAATAAGCATGAAAACCTAATAGCCATTTCTCTCTTTCCAGAAGACTGATTTTGCCCCCTCCCGCAGAACAAAAATCATCATTACTGCAAACCTCCCCAGCCTGGAGGCCAATGATTTCTGACAGTCCAGGAGCCCTGAGCGGCTTTCTCGCTCACTACTCCCACCCTTCCTAAAGAAAAACATGATGGTTGCAGGCACTTTTTGCAGCTGCACTCGGAATCTGGTTGGGAATAGCAGACGCAGACTGTATCAAGCTGGGCTTTCCCTGTGCACATGTCAGACGTGCAGCTCCCCTGGGGACATTCACGTGTCTCAGAGGACCAGCTTCAGTGGCCAGAAGGAAGGGCATGCTTTACTTTTGGTGGGACAATTGCTAACTTAGCCCACCTATACCTGAAGGTTGGACCTGTGGGTCAGGGAGGAGACCCTGGTGATCTGTGCCTCCTCTGTCAATGATGAAGAATCTAGGGTTCCTTAGAAAATTCTGGAAATTGAGCCTCAACAAACGGTGACTATTTACAAAACAGAAATATGACTACGTTGGACCTCCATATCTACGTGTTCTGCATCTGTGGTCCAGCCAGCTCATCATTGACACCAGGGTCTCCTCCCTGACCCACAGGTCCAACCTTCAGGTATAGGTGGCCAAAGTTAGCAGTTGTCCCACCAAAAGTAAAGCATGCCCTTGTAACCTAGAGCTGATTTGGAGTCCTGGGGTGGCGCTGTGGGTTAATGCACCAGACTGCAAAGACCTCTGAACTGCAAGGTCGGCAGTGCAAGTTCACCAGCTGCTCCCTGGAAACCCTATGCAGGGTCACTATTGGTCAGAACCGACTGGAGGGCACTTCACAACAAAAGAGCTGATTTAAAGTACATGGGAGGGTGTGTGGGATATATGGAGATCCGACACCATTTTATAATAGGCACTTGAGTATCCACAGATTTTGGTATTCATGAGGGTCCTGGAACCAATCCCCCACGTACACTGAGGAATGACTGTACTAACTAGTGTGAATTATTTAGGGAAAGCCACTGATGGGCATCTTGAAAATGTTAACAGAATGAGTTAAGCAGAGGCAGAAGAAACTGTCAAGGATGGTGTGTGAGTGTGTGTGTGTGTGTGTGTGGAGGAGCAGGAGACAAGGTTATAAAGACGGATCTCCATAGATGGGGAGGTTCAGGATCGTGAGAGATACCGTTAGGGAAGACTGTCTGGCTCTCGCCCTCAGGTGTGGGGTACTACTGCCCCCAAGCTTCATTGACCATATGGGCTGGGCCTCTTTAACAGGCCTTCTCAGCTCTGTCCCTGCGGAGGCCACCTTTCCTGCCCTCCTCGACTCTTTCTCATTGGCCAGTCCCAGCCATGGGAATCCAGTCTTTGAGGAGGTGCTGGAGAAGTCTTCTCATTCCATCCCCCTGCTCTCCACCCAGAGGAACCCTAGTCACACTCAAACTGCATCTGACTGCATTATCATACAGTCCTCACAAAGAAGGCAGCTAAAAACTATTTTATTAAGAAAAAGCGCATGGACACTGAGCTCTGGTGTCTGACAACACACAGTAACTATAATTTATGAACACTAGGGCCCCGCCATTGTCTTCCTACTTGAATCCGAGGGTATGAATACTGTGGCTGGAATCTTAGGAGCCCTGGTGACACAGTGGGTTACATGTTGGGATGCTAACTGAAAGATTGGTGTCCACTCACCAGCCCTCAGCACATGAGACAATCTGTTTCTGGAAGAACTGTTGGTAAGTGCTGCGGAGTGCGTTCTGACTCAGTCTCCGCGGCTATAAATCGTTACCGGGAGCAGTCTTATCTTTCTCCAGTGGAGCGGCTGGTGGATTTGAACTGCCGACCAGTGTCAGCTTTGGGACGCCTATGGACCAGCTCTCCTCTGTCTTACAGGTCACTGTGAGTGAGAAGGGACTCTCCAGCAGTGGGGTCCACACTGCTGCCAGGGCAGGAGGCACTTTTTGCTTGAGAAATGCCTGTAGTTGAGAACTCAGGCTCCAGAGGCCTCTTGTCCACACTCTGCATTCTTTCCCCAGGCAACCAAGCCCCTTCCAACTCTGCAGCTGCGGACGCAGCGACCTTCCTACCCAACCCAAACCATCTGGGGCAGCCACCAAGGACTCGTCGGCCCGGAGCACACCGGGCGCTCTCCCAGCTCGGTGCCTTGGCCGGGGCGGTCCTCCAGCTCGCAGAAAGCCTCGCCTGCCCTGGAAGGCCAGCTGGAGTCGGGGCATGGGCACCGCCTGGGCGTGCGGCTCCTTCCTCTGCCCTGGACGGTCACTTACCTGTGTCTGTCTCCCACCACACACGGGCCCCCGAACACACTTTCTAGCTGTGTGAGCCCAGGCAACTTACTGAACTTCTCTAGGCCGCAGGTTTGCCTTTTGTCTGCGGGCGGTAACAGCAGTGCCTACCCCACAGGTGGGCTGGGCGGACAACCTAACACCTAACCCGGCTGGGGGCAGCACCTGGCCCTACGAACGGCTTAATTGTCTTCCGGGCAGCCCCGCGCTCGGCACACCGAGGGGGGGGGGGTCCGGGCATGCGTGGAAGGCGCCTCCCCGGGAGGCGGCCGCCGACGGGCAGGAAAGCCCCGGGAAGGGCGGTCGGCAGGAACGGAGAAGGGTGGAGGCGGCGGGTGGGGCGGGGGC